AACAGACACACTCACAGGCTTCGAGGCTGACATATGACCGTAACTAACCAAATCACTTTATAACTGATCACAGAGGTCAGCTATAGAGTATATATACCGCTTTTTAGGGATTTCCCGGTGAGTTTTCTTGACTCGTTAGCTTGAATTTTGTTGTGAGGATGATAACTCGCTCTGATGATGTCCGTCATATGACAGACGAAAGCTTAGCATCTTTTCACCGGAATCGAAGGAGATTTTCTCGGAAACTTCGTCAGCATGAATCTTTCAGTAAAGCTGACCGAAAGCTGGTCAAGAGGAATTCGCTTTCGTCTTCTGGTGGAACCGATCTTCGAATCTCTTCACACAACACTTCCACTCGAAATGGAAGTAAGCTCAACAAAATTTGCTAAATTTTCGCCAGTCGTATGACGAACATCATCAAAGCAGTGTCTCATCCTTACGTACGAGTTGTTTTCACCATATTTCGACCTCGCATAGGTCTTATCAACACCAAAAGTGGGAGTCGAACCGTGATAGTGCAGCATGTAAGCCCGACATGTCTGCGAATGTACCACGTCCACGGTCCGACTCTGGAAATTACCATGCATACAATGGACTCTAAGTCTTCCTACCAATATGACCAAGTTGCGAAAACAAGGTTAAACAACTTGTTAAAATAATCTTATTTAGTTTGAATGCCATGTTCTGATTGGTTCAACAGGGAGGCTCGATGCGGGGGAGCTGAGCTCACTCGGCCTCGCAGTTAAGTAGTGTTCGGAGTGGTGCTACGTTCACTGCGTGATAACTGCTTACTAGCTGATTATGGCTATAGATGTAACAAAATTGACGGACATGACAGCGACGGCTAGAGGCATAATCTTACAAGTCGATAAACAGGTCGAATAATCTGCCTGATCTTCTGCCTCTATGAATGTACACATCCAGTATCCCGCGATCAGAAAAAGTGCTGCAAGCATTGTCTACTTTTCACTTCTTTTAGGAGACAATTGATAGCCATGTTCTCCTTCTGTACCTCGTCGTATACACTTGATCATTCCCTTGCGGTAAGACATGCTGTAGATCAGTTCATTCGGCTGGACCCTGGGAATGTTCGTCAGAGGCTAAGAGCATTCTTTCATATTCTGAGATCGAGGAGGCGCCGAAACCTCTTCCTTACTATTTGATACCATCCAGATTGGTGTCTTAAACTTATTCTTAACTGAGTGGCTTGCTGGTCATGCATAATCGGCTTCCTCTTCCCTCTGACGAAGTCAACTATGCGCTTTGAGAAGGGCTGGAGCCACAAGCTTCCTCACGGTGACACCAACTCGAAAGAATCTGTTAATCTACTCAGTCTGCATAACTTCCATACGTTTGATGGAAGTTGTTTGACTTTGTTTTCGCAACTTGGTCACATTGGCAGGAAGACCTAGAGGAACACACCTTGTCCAGAGTCCATAGTGTGCATGAACATTTCCAGAGTCGGACCGCCAACTTGGTACATTCTCAGATGTCTCGCCGGCAGTGTAGTCGATATCTTCAGTCAGTCTTGCCACTCTCAGCAGCCAAGCTGCAAATCGTCAAAGAGACGAGTTTTAGCTTGGTTGCTGAGAGTGGAAAGACTAACTGACGATTCCGACTACACTGCCGGCGAGACGTCTGAGAATGTACCAAGTCTACTGTCCGACTCTGAAAATTGTCATGCATACAATGGACTCCGGACTTTCTGCGTTCCTCTAAGTCTTCCTACAAATATGACCAAGTTACGCAAATAAGGTCAAACAACGTCTATACAACAAAAGGAGACTGCGACCATGCAAGCGGTCACATCATCATTGTCTTCATACCTTTCATAGGATTGTATAGTACAAAGAAAACGCAACGAATATCTAACCAGGGCAGATTTGACCTCTTCCAGCAGCCCTGAATATCCGCTTGTTTAAGACTTACTGCCCAACTTTATGATTTGCTCTCGTCAAGACATGTTGTATCCATGACGCGACAGTCTATTTTGGGTCCGTGGCGGCATTCTGGTTGAAGGCAATGGATACACTGGCGCGGGCAAAAGATACTTGTAACTGGTGAGCTCATTAACATTTCTAGTGAAAGTGTGGGATGAATAGAGTTCCAACCAGAAGGTGATGGAGGATTTCTCTTGGCCAGCTGGCGGTTAGCTTTGCCTGAACCTTCTTGTTGAGGCTGTTTCCGAGGCGATCTCCTTCGATTCCGGTGAAGACATACTAAGCTTTCGTCCGATAA